GTGCAATTTATTTTAAAAACTGAATAGAAAATTAGGTAAAGATGTATGAAAGGCATAAGCATAACGAAGTGTACATATACTTTAGATTTGATGGTTAAAGATAGGAAGACTATTGAAAATAATCTTATTCTTTAAAGTTTGAAAACATACAAACTTCTTTAATCTTGAGTTGTTTTCTTAACTACCTTAAGTTCATAAGATGAACAGAAAAGTCATGTTATACCCCTGGATAATAGATCCAAGAAAGGTATTTACATGAAACTAAAAGAAAAATCATTAAACAGCAAATATTTAATTGTTGCTATTGACTTAGAGTTTAGAACATTACGTGGAGTAAATAAATGGATACTCACGTATATAAGTTTAAATTTTTTATCTTGGCTAATACTTAGTATTGTTGATTTGTCTGTAAGTCAGTTGCAGGTTAATTAATTAAAAAAAAAAATTTTTTTGGGAAAAATTTTTTGAGATAAGGGGGATGTTGTGTAGCAATTAAATTTAATAACGTTAAAACATAGCAATATAATTCTTAAATATTAAGTCGTAGAAATATTATTATTTATTCAGCGCCATCTATCATCATGCATATAAATTATTCAATATCGTAGTCCACTTTGAAAAGCAACGGACAAGTACAATATAAGTGTGAACCTAGTAGTTGCATTTGGAATGTAAGTTAGATGGTGCTAGTGTGTGATTTTTTTTTAAATGAGATGCAAAATTGGATGTGACGTCACATTAATGTTCTGGAAACAGTGAGAGGCGGAGTCAGCAAAACCGGTCCGTTTGATTCCTCGCACCAAATATGGTGATATGAGAGAAATTTGCAATGACGCTGTCACGTGTTGTAGTAGCCTATAAATAGCAGTGCACAACCAAATTCGGTCTCTTTTGGCTGATAGAACCTTGAAGACCATACTTAGAAAATAGCATTAAGACTAGCAGTGGTAGTCAGTGCATTATTTACTTGATATTTCTCCCCGGATTAACGGGTAAGTTCAATACATTTGATTCGTTAGGCTGTAGGTCCAGTTAGTTTTTTTTATTGAATTATAGAAAAATGTGTAATTGGTTCTAGGTCCATTAATTTGGCTAATTAATAACAGTAATAATCACAATTACTTGATCCTGATTGGAATCTCCTTGGAAATATATATATATATGAGCCTGTGAAGCTTTCTTGAGCAAAAAGTGACGGGTTCACGTGATGACAGCAAGTCCTGCTTCATCCCTGAGGACATTTGAGTCATCCTGATGCTCCCATGATCTTGCCAAGCTAAGTAAAACTTATAACTTCTTGATATTTAACCAGTGCATACTCCGGAGAATAATTTCTGTTTAACGTGTTAAAGGATTTGTATTGGTAAACTGTAAAGCCATTATAAGAACATAACAAATTTTTATTGTTAAATTTCCAAAACTTAATATTTTATAACTTGTTTAATAATTTGTGTATATAAGAAACTTAAATTGAGTATTACTGTATTAGCCCATGATCTTGAATGTATGAATATCTTTAAATCAAAAGAAAAATCCTTGAGGAAATATAGCTATGTATTTATTAAGTTGAATGTGACTAGTATTAAGTTTTAACCATGATGAAATAAGATCTGAATCTTTTTTTTTGACAATATAATATCTTGTTCACTGCGGTTTTAGACATTTTCATTTATCTCCCTCAAATCACAGTATTACGGCGCCCTGATTATAAATTAAATAAGTTTCGAGTCTCATGTAAGCCCTGAAATAGCCGGTGATAACAAAAATTGTTACAACCCCCATATTGCTATGTATCAGATAATACCAATAATTCAAAGTACCTTTAAAAATTCGGCAATGAAACTTATGTTAACAAAGTCGTAAATTGAAAACGTTCGCGAATATCTCAAGCAGCAGGAAATCATTAGTAAATACCACGACGGTAAAACATACCATCGTGGCATTAACGAATGCTACCTGGCTCTGTCTCATAAATACTATTGGCCAAAAATGAGAGAACATATCACGAAATTCATAAATGAATGCACAATTTGTGGGCAGGCTAAGTACGATCGAAATCCGATCAAACAGAAATTCCAAGTAGTACCACCCGCTGGTAAACCTTTTGAATTAGTACATTTAGACCTTTTAACTATACAGGGTGAGAAATATTTAACAATAGTCGATTCATTCTCAAAATATGCTCAGGCGTATTACTTACGAGATGGAACTGCGGTAAGCGTTGTTCAAGCCTTTCTTCAGTTCTGTACTCACCACGGAATTCCCATTACTATTGTCACAGATAATGGTCCAGAATTTGTAAATCAGCTATGGCTGAATTTTTAAGATTGCATAAGATTCAACATCATAGAATCGCACCTCACACCCCTAATGAGAATGGCATAGTAGAGCGATTCCATTCTACAATTCTAGAACACTTACGCATATTAAAACTCGACCATAAGAACGAATCTGTTATTAATAGCATGCCATATGCTCTTCTAGCTTATAACGATTCCATCCACAGCTTCACAAAATGCAAACCCATTGACGTCATAACGGGCCATTTCGACCCACGAGATCCGTTTGACGTAGACCTTTCATCTCATTTACTTCAACAATATATAATAGATCATAAGAGTAGAATGTGTACAGCTTATAATTTAATACAGGAATCATGTACTAACCTTCGTCAAGACTTGATGGATAATCATAACGCTAATCGGGACACAGAAAAGGAGTACTCCCCAGAGCAACAGGTATTCATCAGGAACCCTCTTGCAACCAGACAGAAACTAGCCCCTCGCTACTTACATGATAAAGTTATGGCAGACTTGCCAATTCACATTTACATTAAGAAAAGACAAGGGCCAGTAGCTAAGTCTAGGTTAAAGAGAGTGCCTAAAACTGCTCAATTGTTGCAGGACCCTCGTGATATTTCTCCTTCTACCTCTGCAGCCCAGCATGAGCCAGGAGATAAAACTTGAAAGCCTCGATGACGGTCCTGGCATCTTACCCTTCAAATTAGGCCCCTCAAGAATTATATCGCATTACCATTCATTCTTACAACCCCTAAACCTTCAGGAAATGCAATTGCAAATCATTTCTGTAAGGAAACAAATAGATAGTATCAATCCCGAACTTAATAATAAAACACGTTCTTTATTTGAACCTCATCTAAATTACTTAAAATCTAAAGTTATAAGTGTTTCAGAACATCTAAAAACTTTTGCAATAACAAGAATGAAAAGAGGACTAATAGACGGCCTGGGCTCAGTAGTTAAAAGTATTAGTGGCAATCTTGACTATACGGATGCTGCACGCTATAATGAAGCTATAAAAGTACTTCAAAGTTCAGATAACGCTTTAACTACTGAACTGAACCAACATATCAGTCTTTCTAAAGAGTGGATGTCCCGTTACTCTAAAATAATAGAAAGTATCGTAGATAATCAAGACAAAATTAGGCAATTATTAGAAAAAATCAATAATAGCGTAGCTACGAATGACAATGACCTTATTAAGTACGCTCATTTGGCCCAGGTATTCTTAATATTAGGTGATAACGTAGATCAAGTCTCCCAGGAAGTATCTAAGTTGGAAAATATATTAGCATTTATAAGAACCGCAACAATGCACCATTCTATCTTAAAACTAAATTCTTTATATTGAATATTAGACAAACTTCGAACGTTATACAGTACTGATAAAATCTTAAAACTAAACATTAGAGAATATTTCGATATAATAAAAGTAGGATCATACTATCTAGGCAATGACATAATTATAGTATATAAATTCCCTATTGTTTTACCCCAAACTTTCGATATATATAAATTATCTATTATTCCCAATAAAAATAACAGCATCCTTCCACCGCCCTATCCTTTCCTGGCAATATACAAGGAAGAATTCAGGTACATAGAGGCTGAATGCCCGAAGACCAGCAAATGGTACATCTGTAACGAAAACCGGAGTCTGCAAAGTCGAGCGAAACAAGACTGCATCCATCAGCTGATAACAACGCAGCAGGGATCCACAGGATGTAAACCAGTTACTGTCTCCCTGGAAACCTCAGCCTTTGAAGAATTGGATGAAATGCACTACGCCGCCAGCTTTCCCAAACCAACAAGAGCACACCTTTCTTGCGGACAGCATCTATCTAAAATACTACAAGGGAGCTATCTTATATTTGTACCACAAAACTGTTACGTAGAAACCCCAGATTTCCGGATATCAAACACTAAGAATCAAGTGAAGGGACAGGCATTGAAGATAATGGACCTACCAGTTCAAGACTCAAGCGTCCAGACGCCAGCATCTACACCGTTCAAGCTGAAGTCTATTCATCTCAATCATCTGCATGAAGTCAACACAAGGATTGCGATGCAACAACCCCTAAGATTGAACACGGAAATTGATTATAGCGTATACCACACTACGATCCCTATGTACATTATAATACTGAGTGCGGTCGCACTCGGGGCGTTCCTGGCCTACCGGAAATACAGCACACGTCAAACAACGAAGACTCAAAACGGAAGTGACGAAGATCATACGGAACAACCAACAATCTATAGTGAAGTTCCTGCAAGGAAAAGAACTGGTCCAGCGCAGCTTCCAGCTCAATTCACCACTAAGGTTTCTCTCGCTGATCTACGGGGGGAGGTGTTACGTGAAGCGCCTCTATGAAGAATGCTTAGCTTGCGCCGACCTCGATTCCCACGAACATTCGACAGGCACGTGTAGCTGACGCAGCAGTGAGCATCGGCGACTGCGTTTTACACAATACAGGAAACGGGCATTCTGATACCTAACATCGGTCAGACTCATCCAGTTAGTAATAATTAATATTGTAATTCAATAAATTGTATCTTTTATTAAAATAAATTGATTTTTTTGGACTTTCGGTTGCGACCACGCTTAATTCCACCATCACATCCCTACCATCACTTATATTTCGCACTATAACACAATATTGTATTTTTTTTGTTGATCAACGTTATTCACTCTCTGAAGTCATGGCCAGTGTTGCTGCAGTACTGGAGACACAGAAATTCCTAGAGTCAATACTGATGAAGAAGATGGGCGACTTGGAAGCTCAGCTTAAATCATCTTCTTCCAAGAAAGACGGGGACAATTTGCTAAAGATCCAGGAAGAGTTTAACACCTTCAAAAATGTTGTTCACAACATACTGCAACTCTTGCGGCAGCAGATCACTGAAGTCATCAAATCTGTGGATGCGGTCAAGACCAGGCATCGGCAAAAGTGCCTTCTCCTTAGTGGATTACCGGAGAAATCTGATGCTGAATTGGCAAACAATGCTGTCTCCTTGCTTCAGAAACATCTTGGACTCTGTGAGATTACTGGTGAAAGCATCAAAGCATGTTACAGATTGGGCCGGTACAAGGAGGGGCGCAATCGCCCAGTTGTCATCGAATTCACTGGTCAGCACATTAGATCTCTCATATGGAAAAACAAGACCAGGCTAAAAGGTTCCGATTTGGTTTTGGAAGAGTTCTTGACCAGAAGCCGACAGTCTGCATTCAGAGCAGCGAGGGAGCATTTCGGCATGAAAAGTGTGTGGACCTCGAGCGGTAATATTTGCATCTCAACTCCGGATGGTAACAAAGTACGTATTCTTTCGATGGACGAACTGAACATGCTCACTACGAGATTCCCAAAGCCGTCTCCCGTAGCTACCGTGTTGTCGGAGGAGTCGTCCGTGGTTCTGGAGGTGTCGGAGTTGTCCACAGCATTGTCCGACGACCCAACTCAGTCCTCCAAAGCGATACAGACGAGGTCGAAACGAGTCAACAAGAGCTCCAAGTAACCTGACGCGAATCGCCGTAAATGTAGGCATGACTCGATTTTATTTCACTTTCAATGGTAATGTTGATTAATTTTTGTTTGTAGCAAAGAGAAAAGGTATATAGTGGACACTGACATTTGATGGCCTTATGTCATTTTTACTTTTGAAAACTTTTCCTCGTCTAGGAAGGCAAAAGAATTTAGTTCATACGGCCTATTTATGTTAGTTTAAACTTTTTTTTAATGGTTATAACTATGCTGTTTTTTTTTTTTATTTTATTAAATATGTATTTACTATCGAGTCATGTACTGTCTGTTCTATTTGTTACTGAATAAGATTTTAATTATATTGTAAACAGTTTACCAGTGGGATGTGTGGAAATTTAAGATGCAGTTTATTGCTAGCGATTTTTATATGTATGTTAGGTTCTATTTTAATTTCGTATAAGTATTATTATTGTAACTTAGTATATATTTTGTATATTTATTTATATATTTATTTTGGTTCATGGATGATAGAAATGTCGGATTCAGAGGTATATTTTTCCGCTAATGATAACACTTCATATAATTCTCTTGATAATTCAAGCGAAGACTCGTATGATATTAGCACTGCTCTTAAATGTGAATTCCGTGACTACTGTCATGCTTTTAAAATTTGTCATATTAATGCACAAAGCATTCCACGGCACTATGCTGATCTCCTTCACGCATTCTCTTCGGATACGGTTCATGCCGTCCTGGTGTCGGAAAGTTGGCTTAAGCCATGTCTAAATTCTAATTCATACAACCTCCCAGGGTATAATCTTATTCGAAACGATCGTATTGGCAAAGGTGGCGGTGGGGTTGCCATATATTTGTCAAATGTCTTACCTTTCAAACTTATATGTTCTTCCTCCTTTCGTCTCGACTCTATGAAATATCTTCTCTTTGAAGTCACTGTCAAAGGTATCAAAATTGCCCTGGGAGTTGTTTACTGCCCCCCTTCTATTAATTTCCTTACTGACTTTGATTCACTTCTTAATTCTGTTGCAACAGACTATTCTCATCATATCATAATGGGTGATTTCAACACCGATCTCCTGAAGGACACTACCCACTCTCGCAACTTTCGACCTCTCATTGAGGCTGTAAATTTCTCTATTTTACGTCTTGATCCTACTCATCACAATCACACCACGTCGGACTCAGTGTCCACAAGCACGGACAGCTTCCCGCATCTGGCTTTTCCAGACACGACCTCGTTTTTCTTGCTTATAAGGCTAAACCTCCCAAGCCAAAGCCACTTATTGTACTAATGCGAAACTTTACCAGACTGGATGTGGAGAAGTTGAGAAGTGATGCCTGCGCTGTTAACTGGTATCCTATTCGTGAAGCAACGTCCGTCGATACCATGATCACCTACTTCAACCAAGTTATTTTAGACCTTTACGACCGTCACGCCCCTAAAAAGTGGGTTAAATTAAAACGACCACCAGCGCCATGGATTACTGCGGGTGTTCGTATGGCAATGAGGAAACGGAACAAGTGCTTCCGATCTTACAAACGTTGCCGTACTGATGATATCTGGCGTGCATTTAAACTGCAAGGTTTCTTCGTACTCTAGGTTTTGGTAAAATTTTCTCAAAATTTACCTCTTCTTTTTCATTGGATGAGCTTAACAAACATTTCTCTTCAGTTTCTTCTCTCCCTACTTCAGTTATGCTCTCTACTGTTTCCTCTATAACTTCCATTGCTCCCTTTTCTAGTGAATTATTCAGTTTTCGTCCCTTAACTGAAGAAGAGGTCCGTAAGATTGTCCTTTCCACAAGATCTAAGGCAGTGGGATGTGACGATATCAGCAGGACTATGATTATCCCTATACTTGAATGTTTACTTCCAAGTCTCACCTTTATTCTTAATTTTTCCCTTTCATCATGTACCTTTCCTTCTATCTGGAGAAAAGCACTTACTACGCCTCTCCCTAAAATTAATAGTCCCTCATCTCTGAGCCACTATCGGCCCATATCTATTCTTCCTTTTGTCTCCAAGGTTTTAGAAGCTGCTGTGCACAGCCAACTCACCTCTTTTATCTTTTGCCACAAAATTCTCACCCCACTACAATCTGGGTTCCGTCCAGGTCACAGTACAACCACTGCCCTTATCAATGTCCTTGACGACATTCGTAGCGGTATGGAAAATTCGCAGTTGACTGTTATGGTCCTAATAGACTTCTCCAACGCATTCAATATGGTCAACTACGATATTCTCCTCGCAATTCTTTCACAAGCAGGAGTTTCTTCTTCAGTAGGGACCTGGTTTTCATCTTATCTTCGTGGACGCCAGCAGGCTGTACGGGTAGACCAAACCATCTCGGAATGGTGCACTCTCACTGCTGGTGTTCCACAGGGCGGTATTCTCTCTCCTCTTCTTTTTTCTTTATTTATTAATTTCCTTACTACTATGATTCATTCCTCTTACCATCTAGGTATATGCTGACGATCTCCAACTTTATGTTCATGCAGATAAAAATAGTTTCGATGAGGCCCTCATATGCCTGAATAATGACCTTCAGAGGATTTCGGAATGGTCCAACTGTTATGGTATCTCTGTTAATCCATCAAAATGTCAAGCAATTATAATAGGTGGTTCCCTGCAGTTGGCCCTTCTGGATGTAGGTTCACTGAATCCATTATTATACAATGGTACTGTAATTAAATTTCAACCATGCGTCAAGAATCTTGGCCTACTCATTGACTGTACTCTCAGCTGGGAGAATCAAGTTGAAGAAGTATGCTGTAAAGTAATTAATACACTTAGGGCTCTGTACAGGCTAAAATTCTTTCTCCCTTCCTGTACAAAGGTTACGCTGGTACAGGCTCTCGTTCTTCCTATCCTTGACTATGCTGACGTCTGCTATTCTGACACCAATCAAAACCTTCTTTCTAAGCTGGATCGTTTGCTCAACAGCGGTATCCGCTTTATTTTCGGTTTACGTAAGTACGAACATATCTCCCACTATAAAAATAAACTCAATTGGCTGTCCATACGTGACCGTAGAAATCTCAGAATTTTATGCATGCTTTTCAGTGTTCTATACGATCCACGTGCCCCAGAATACTTGAAATCTAGGTTTCAGTTTCTGGGTCCCTCCAGACCACGTGATCTTCGCTCTTGCAGGCACCTTACCCTTAAAACTATTTTTCACCATTCAGGTTTTGTTTCCAAATCTTTCGCCATCACAGCTATACGTCTTTGGAATGCTTTGCCACTGAATATTCGCAGTGCACGTAATAAGCTACAATTCAAAAAACTAGTGCGTGCTCACTATCTGTCAAACTAATTTTCCTCTTAATCTGTAGTCATCTATATATCATCATATTTTTTTTTTATTAATATTAGTGTATGTATGTTTATTCATGTATTTATTTATAAATATATGTATTTATATATATATATATATATATATATATATATGAATATATATGTGTATCAGTATATATGTGTAGGTATAATATGTATTTTATATTTATTGTTGTTATAGAATAGTTAGGTATAGTAGATAGTTTTCATGATCCACACTAAGTAGCTCATATTCTATCGCCATTATATTTCATCTCCTACACCTTTACTGGTTGACTGGTAGAGAATGCCTATGGCATTAAGTCCGAAATTTACTGTTTTTATGGTAATAAAGAATAAATAAATAAATAAATAACGAGATGACAGTGTCTCTATGAGATTGACTTTATACTTATTTTATGGTTATTTCTCTGTTCCTCCAAATACTGCACAGTTTCCTACGATTTTTGAAGACTGTGCAGTCAAACGGAGCAATACGAAAATTTCAATTGTTTTATCGGAATCGGATGAACTGTACCGACTAATCGTAACGTGTATGCGCTCGTTCAGTTTTCGTGTTCAGTTTTGTCGTCAGTTGCAGTTCGGGTAGACGTATTCAGTAGATGTAAGTATGTATCATGATCCATTCTTAAAGAAATATGCCAGTCTTTTGGAAACATCTTTAATTCCGACAACAAATTGACATGAGAGTGAACTCTTCTTTTCATTAGCCATTCTTTGCACCAGATGCTACGATTTTTTTGCTTCACTTTATTTTCCTTCAGGGCGAATATTAATCCAACGACTGCTAAAACGTCGTCCGTCGAAGCCATCGCTGACACGTGTGCGTCGGCGCCGTTTATTGTACCGTCTGATCGTAACGATTTCTCGTAGCGTGTATGGCTACCAGTTTGAGTTTCACAGCTGATTACGCAATCTTAGCTCTTCCTTCTACTTTTCTCACAGTCTCCTTCTGTAGTTACCATTGAACCGAGGTAACTAAACACTTCCTCCAAATTCATGTCTTTATTCATTTATGGTACACACTACGAGAAATCGTTACGATTCGCTACCATAAAAATACAGGCTAAATACAGGCTTAGGCTCGTATTACAGAATGACAACTAAGGCCCGCATTACAGTGTTGATCATTACTTGAGTACAGTTAGAAAGGGATGTCGCTATGTGATATATATAGCGACATACCTTTCTAAGCGCATTCAAGAAAATATGATTGAGAAAGGATTGCTTTTTACCCGACTGCGCAATGCAAGAGCGCGAAGCGCGACGCGCAGACAGGGTATAATGTTTAGCAGTCTATATATGTATGTTTGTTCCTTTGTGGCACACTAGAGACCAAACGCCTGCACCGATTTTGATGATTCATATATCAATCGATTCATTTTAATCATGGGAGTGCTACTAAAGACATGATAGTAATCGAAATTCAATATGGGGACAATTAGGCACCATATTCTGAGGAAGAAAAAAAAATAAGTTGACGAATATGTCCAGTGGGGTATCATTATCTAGATAATCGAAAATCATATTTAGGTTCCTTAGACTATTTTTCATTTTATTTGATTGTTTAGGATCTAAAACGACTTAAAGTTGTATATTAGGGACTTGCGCTTTGAATTTCAATCTTAAGTTTGTATAGTGGATCTTTGTTACTCTTTCACCCAAAAAATACTGAATGGA